ATTGGAGAAGTCGGGCAGACAGTACTGCTAGACCTGGAGGTCTAGCATGAAAAATATAACGAAGGTTTTTACCTGAATTGATACATGTTTTTCAGGTTGGGGCATCAAGAACCCACCAGATCATCATCATCATGATCAAAGACAGCAACATTAATGTTGACACTGATGCTTCACCCTATGAATGGTTAAAGGTACTGACGAACATGGTGAAGCTACGCAACCCGTGGTGGTGCTTTATCTATTCTCTTGTTCCCAATCACTAAGTCGCTATTCTTCTTTCTGTAATATCCTGTACTTCTATCCTGCACTATCAGATACCACAAGCCGCGGTGGCTCAAACCGCCGTACACACGTACACGTTTCATGGTTATCAAACTTAGGTGAACTGAACTAAAGTAACGGCGAGCAGGTCGCTACTCAGCTGTGTATCTGAAGGTAGGGGTAACATATTGTCAAACACTGTGACGTCACTTGCAGTCCACTTGACGGTAACTAACTGCTGGGTCAGAACTTTGCACATCACGGTGGTTCCTTTGCTACCAGCAGTGTGAGTATTCTCCTTGATGTGGAATTTCTGAACGTCAACTGTTGGTTTCCCCTTTGTGGGGTTCGTCGGATAGGCTTATTTCCTGATTCTGCACCAACTCTATTTTACAACCGATGCCAATCGGACATGTGAAGTCGACCCTTCACCGATCACTCTTTTTCTTTTATTCACATAAAAGCCTCTAAAAATGACGGTTCTGCAGCGGCGAAGCATCCGTGTTGGCCACTAATGTGCTGTCCATGATGATGTGGAGTTGGGCACTCAGTTGGAAGGTTTTCACGCGCAACCCATCTGAGTCCCTCCAATATTGTTCTCATAGTTGATGTCATGACAGGGGAATACTTTGGCATGTTAAATATCGTTCCAACTGGGACATGAGACCACCTTCGCGCAGTAAGTTCATTTGAATACTACTAGGGACTAGAGATTCAATGGGCGTGCTTCTTTTCTTAGGGGGCTATCTCCAAATACTGAAGATGACGACCATTTGTGGTTAGGTTACCATGGCTTGATTTGCGTGCACGGTATTTTTCCTAGATGATGCAGCTGCAACCATGCCATCCTAACTTAATGGCTTCGTGATGTGATTTCTATATATACCCTGGGTAAAACATGCAGTGGCGAATGAATCGAAGTAATTTTGCCTGCTGTAATTGATGTCCGAATTTTCCTTATTCATGCACTGCAGGAAGAAGAACTGCGCTCGGCCGTTTTAGTTGTTTTGGCGAATAAACAAGATATCCCCGGTTGCATGAGCATCAGTGAAGTTGCGAACGCCCTCGGACTAGCAACAATCAAGAATAGGCGATATCAAATATTCCGGACGTCAGCTTTAAAAGGCGAAGGACTAAATGAGGCAATGGATTGGTGAGTTTGCGGAGTGTCTGTTTAACTCCTCGGTACTTGAAATATTTCTCTTAAGACAGTGGAAGCCGTTTCACTATTTTCTATAGAGGAAAATGTTGGTAGCTCAGGTAGCGTAGATGGTCGTTGGCTTGTTCGCTGAGCTGGGCAATTTGATTTCAAACGTTTCATCACCAATCGAGGTTACATCATCAGTGCATTATTGGGGAGCGTAGCAGTGGGTTAGTGGTTGTGCCTTTCATTGTGTATACTTGTCCCCAGTGAGTTTCACTGATGGATTCTGGCTGCTAGATTATTTTCTCTAGGAACCATCTTTTTAACGCCCAACATATACTACTTTCGCTACATGCACTTTGTAAATTACTCGTGCTTCCGTGTCGAAATTCTGTCTGTTTTGTGCTTATTAACGCTGGAACTCAATTTAAACAATCGAGGTTAATCATCAGTGCATTATTGGGGAGCGTAGCAGTGGGTTAGTGGTTGTGCCTTTCATTGTGTATACTTGTCCCCAGTGAGTTTCACTGATGGATTCTGGCTGCTAGATTATTTTCTCTAGGAACCATCTTTTTAACGCCCAACATATACTACTTTCGCTACATGCACTTTGTAAATTACTCGTGCTTCCGTGTCGAAATTCTGTCTGTTTTGTGCTTATTAACGCTGGAACTCAATTTAAACAGGGCTTGAATGCCTACGGATCTCGTTCAGCCCCACGTTTGTTATTGTACGTCAAATCCATGCCCCACCATCTCACTGAACACATGCATTTCTAACTCACATTTTAGGAGTTGAAAGAACACCCACAAATCACCGCTTCATTTAATCGTTTGTGCTAAGCGAAAACTGGTTGACGAGTAGATCACCGGTGCTAGCCTCCCATTCGTGCAACTGTCAATCTCGTTGGCTTTGTTGGTCTTGCTGCAGTTTGGTAAATGTAGAGCAAACACAACTCGATTGAAATCTAGCAATCATGTCGTTCATTTAAATACACCGAATCCACTCACCCCCTCACCTTATTATCTATGCCACTGAGTGGTACTGTTTTTTTTCAACAGCAAATGTGTTTCACGTACTGCACTCCCGTGTGTATTAGTAGAATGTAGGGCATTTCATACGAGCGGACAGCCTTAATGTGTTTAAAGTGAACTAGGATTCACGCCCATAAGAATAGTCATACGCGCACTTGGCCCGTATTTCTAATACGCTTTACGTGCACCCTTTCGTATGCCTGAATCCTCCGTTTTCGGATTTGAGCTAACAGGGATATGGACACAGTGCTCCATTGAATAGAGACGCGCATGTGCGTTTGGTTCTTAATGTATGGTGACTCCTCATCCAACACTGAAAGGAATGTTTATCAGGAAATAACCTGATTGCCCATGAATAGTATTCCTATGTAGCAGTCGCTCACAAATCGCGGTGGGTTGTGCGTGAACACTGCGATTCAGTTGTCACAACATTTACTGAGTAGCTGTCTCCCGGAAGGCGCGCATCAGTGTCTGTCCTGTCTGCCTGTCTCCTCTGCGATCCTTTCGAAAGATCGAACCCCACCTTTGTCATGGTTTCCACCTTGGGATTCTGCGTTTCTATGGGCATTTCGGTTATCATCCTAGTTCTGCATAGAAGGGCACATCATTGATACAGTTGCTTACGTTAGGTTTCCTTTTACCCCCTCATAGACCGACTACCGACCAATCAACAGTTCAGCGATCCCGGTTTACTTAAACAGTCAGGTTATCTGCACTCTCTATCGTAAGCTGTATTCAGTGCATGGCAATGATAAACTGCCGCCAGCCGTCTCAGCAGTAACTGTATTCATGTCATGCAAATTAGCACTTTTTAGATGGACCAACAACGACCTGATATTCCATTTCTTGTCACGGAATGCCCCCCCCCCCTTATTAGACAGTATATGTGCTTTTGCTTTTCTCGCCCGTACATAACAGCCATAGTCTCATTGATTGCAGGTTGAGATAGTCGTTTTCTTAGTTGCAGGCTAAGTGGCATGTTTGCTTGTCTGATCCTCATTAAGTGCTGAGAATTTTCAACAACCATGTATTTTTGTTTCAGGCTAACGAACACCCTTACTGGGGCCAAGTAGGACAAAATGATTACCCTCCTTGTCTTCTGTGAATACTCTGCAGTGTCACGTTTTGGATTTGGTCTTACCTACGGTTTTTGTGATGTGAGATGTTTCTCGTGGCGCCAACTAGTGGGATTTACTTTCAAGTTCATGAGGTTGTTGTTCATATTGTGGGCTTTTTCATACTTGGCTCTACGCACTATTCGCCCAACGTGAAAGTTGGCTGTGATATTCGTCTTTGTCTTCCTCTATTTCCATCAATATATTCATCTATACACGTTATCGTCTTCTTCAAGGTTATTCTACGAGCGTTGTCACTACTGCTTTGCACCATGCTTCTATATCTGCTTTTGCCTATTCGCCACATTGTTTGGCTTTACTACGACTGTCCCTATGGGATAACGCCTGCCCATATGGTATCGGTTGTTAACCTGAGTTGAATGCTTATTTTTCGTTATGGAACAAGAAAAAACAAGTTAGTTGCTTTGCGACTGAACTAAATAAACAATAATCGTGATTAACAAGCGGGATGCGATCACAATCTTTACTAACTTTCACAGTGCGAGCTCTATTTGAATGGTGCGTGGGCGCCCTAGCGATAACGTTCACCACTTACCTTGTGGGCAAGAAAGACGTCCTTATATAAAACCTAAGTAAAGTGCAGCAACAGCATCATCATCGTCATGGAAAACACCCACCATTAAGTGTCCTCGAACATTCATCATCATTATCAGCTTCAATTACCGCGCACTTGTCGTACAGTGGCTGTAGCTGCTACAATTTCGTTCACCGATGATTTGGGGAGGTGAGGTAGGTAGCTGCGCATTGGAGGCGGGAGCTGATAAATTGGTGCGTAAATACAAGACTGCCACTGAACAGTGGGAGGAAATAAGTATGGAGCTTGGTGCACGAAACTTTATTAGCCTGACTTATCCGGCTAATCGGTAATCAGCCGACTCCGTGCATCTCTACCGGCCTTCAACACCGTGAGGTTTTCACTTAACACACGTGGTCAGAACACAATGGACCGAAGGTGTCACTTTGGGACAATAAAGTTTGCTGGATGGGTGTGCGAAATCAACTGAAGGAATAGAGGCGTTTATTCAGACGCAATTAGAAACGGCGATAAAACAATTTGAAGTGCCGCAAACTCGCGGTTGAAAAAGCATATACACCATCCGGTTTGTACTACTACAACTTTTATAAGTAGGCACAAAGTAATGAGAAAAGGTTAGGGGATGACTAGCCATATGTACACGGCAGACCGCATTGTCGTGAGGATCAAAACAAAGGGAAAGAATGAGTAAGTCAGGTTGAAAGTGCATCAGAAAAACGGGATATAGATAAAAATAACTGAACTAATGATGACGAGCTGTGCTGGTCAAAAGAAGCATACCCCCTCCGTAAGAAAATGCGTTCCATGATATAGGTTAAAAAGAAGATACAGCCGAATAGGTGAAAGATAGCCAGGTGAAATTTGGGGGCACCATGCAGCGGATGAAAATAACATGTAAGCCAATGATTGAAAGACTATGAATGAGGGGTACAGCGTGATACAGGGAACCGTACGGTCATGCATGAGCGATAGCTTACAACGAACGATGGTGTCTTTTAGCGAGGGTTGTTGAGGGGAGAAACCACTAAATCAAAACGAAGAGAAAAAGTGACCTACTTGCGAGCTCTGTAGAAAAAATCGAGTAATGATTGACAGTAATCCAGTTCAGAGGACCAAACCACTTTCATTTCGAAACAATAGCGAAAGAAATACACAGTGGCGTTGCCTAAAGCGTCCGGGGGAGAGTGCGAACTAAACACGGAATCGAGTGCGGCACCCTGCAATCTTCGCGCACTAATGAGGAATTCTTATTTTTAACACTAAGATTTTTCTGTCTGGGATTGGATTGGTACAGGAGGAGCTGGGGCGGGCAATTTGCGATGAATGGGTTCCGAACTAGATGTGTTAGGCTTGGGTTTAATGTGGTCGGTGACAGTTGCGTTGCCACGAGATGCGTTTGTCGAAGACTTTTGCAAAGAGGCACTCGTTCGAATAGGAACCGCAGGATTAGGTTTATGGATTGAGCTTTCCGGTTCTGGTGCATTTGTTGGAGTTGCGCGATCATCGGCTGAATCGACGTAATCGGCACCTGTTGTGATCTGCGAGAAGGAAGATTGAGATGGTTAAAAAACGGCTGAAAATGCGTACGACAGTTTGCTGCTCTTTTGAAGAAGTAACACGAACGGACTCAGTAAGCAGATCGAAATACTTGGCCTAGTACCATTTACTGAGCTGTGTGACGGTGAAGTTTTTCTGTTCATGTAGCACCTGATTTTAGGAATCTTCCCTACCAAGGTAGTTGTGAGGTACGAGTTTCCAGTGAAGCTGGTGGCTGCGGTTGACACAAGTGAGGAAATAAAAATGTTAAGATAAGCACTAATCGGTTTACCGGCCACGACGCGATTGAGTCTCAGGGTGACAATGGGCTCAAAGCAACGATTTTCGTTAACGAGCTGAATATGTTCCCCTTAGCTTAAAACACCAATTCCTACTTATGTAAGTAACCTTGTACTCGACTAATTCGATACTTTGAAACAATGGTGCCGCGAAACGTCTTTTCTGGCCAGAACTCGGCAACAGCGTGAACCTCGAAAACTTGAACTGATGACTGGTGAAGTGGAAGATAAATGGTGTTTTCTGTTGAGAATATTTATCGCGGGGATTACGACAGGACCAGCGGACCCAACCCGAATCTCCAAAGCGAGAAATGAAAAAAATAAAGGTGAGGAGCCAATACTTCAAAAGATGAACAAAGCGACGGCGCTAATGTGTGAAACCAGAATCAGGAAACGTTCCTAAACATAAAGACGGCAGCGAGGAAACATGACGAAAGATAATGCCCATGTCTCGCGGATTGGATGGTAGTATTTCTGGACACGTATAGAGTGGACCAAGGAATTAATAACTACAGGATCCCCTGTCTTCCTAGTTTATTCTGAGGGTCATAACGTTCAAATGGTAGTCAAGTCCAATGCATGTGACTGTCATTCGTTATGTTTTGGATCGCAGTTCAATGGTTAGAATAGGTCGACCGTGATCTCCTGGCTTTGTCAACGTACGAATATGTCTGGAACTGAATTACCGTACTTGTTAAGTGAAGAGCGTTGAGGAGTAGATAAATGGACGATCCTTCTTATGCCCAAGTATTGCCAGCAACATGTTTTCCACAGATGGACATCGCTCAGATGCAGTCCTGGCATCTATTGCCGTGACGATGATGCACTAGGGTAGCAGATCCTTAACGAATGAGGGCTGTGTTCATTTCGGCTTCAGATTATATGGACCAAATAAACCAAAAATATGGATATAAGGCTCAGGAGGAACATCTCATTCTTCTCAGTTGTCCTGGGTACAGAACAACCAATGGACCAAAAAATCATTTACAAAATAAAATGCTGTTAACATGAGGCAAAAATGATAGATGATCCTCATTTAGATTTGAGAGGTCACCGCCTCAATTTTCCAGCAATCGTTTACCGTCGATTTGGTACCCAAGTACGAATTGATATTGATGGAAATTCGTGGGATTGTCTTATGAGTCCCGAAACGGCTCAAAGGAATTTCATAGGTTTTACAAGTAGCATAATGCCAAGAACCAAGAGAGCGCAATTTTATCAGAAAGTGTAAGACCAAATTGTGTGCTCAATGCGGATAAGCGCTGTTGCTTGAACTAGGTGGCCATTTGTTGAGGCCAGTGTTTGTAGAAGTGACATGTGCAGACGTACAGGAGTTAGTTAAACATGCTTAGCGAAGAATCCAGCGATGCATCAGGCCAGTGAATTCCAAATTAACACGTACGAAAGAGCTATGGTGCCTATTCACCCCAGGGTTGCACGTCGTAAACGCTTGATTTGACATCTTCCTAACACGTTAGTTCAGGTCGCACGTGTACCGAACATTATTTATTAGCTTTCAGAAGGAAGGTTGTACTGAAGAACCGCTACATGTTCGCTTCCCATCCCTGGGTGTTCTTTTTTAGATGGCATTATGTGTATTTTACATCGCTGTCTTCTCAAATCTGTTGATGACCATGCTACCGACTACGATCCTCGGAAGCGAAAACACCATGAGGAAAGAGGAGTTCTGAGGTTTCCCGAAGAGTTACGTTTTCTTCAGTCTAATTTATTTTACCATAAATCTGCCTATAGGGTCTTGAACTGAGTGGTTCCGCTCTGAATTTCTAACACCGCGGTTTCGCTCATGGTTCTACAGTCAGATAATTTATTTTATATTTTGGGTTGATGTTTTGTCACGTTATGGAGCGCTTTCGAAGAATTCAGCCCTGAGGTTTTACAGGAACTATTTGAGCACCGTATTCAATAGTCTAGGTGTTGTCCGTCTTCCAGAAGGGGATCTGCATGATTCTCTCTGTGTTCAGCTTCATAGACTGCAAGATATGACCGTTAACTAATGTCAGCAGAACTCGTTCTGTCTGTCTCTAGCCACAGTCTGAGTGCATGGAGATGTGAGTACATTAGTTGTTCGTGGTGGAATATCACTAGACCTTTTCCCCTCTTTTTGGTCTTCATAGATAAATGTATTCTCATACCGGCGTTGCCGACAATACTTAGGAGTTCCAGACCAAACTCGACTCAAATATTGTCAAAAACATTGAACGCCATGTGGTGTATAATATGGAAATGCTGACAATGAAAACGGCGTAGTGGAATAAGATGTAACTAAGGTCTTATTCTATTACCCTGTTTTAACTTTAAAAGTTTCCAAACTGATGACAGTGGAGGCCTGTGGACAGGAATTCCAAAAGTAAAAAGTTATCTTCGACGGATTTTGTCCAGTTTCATAAACGTAGTGCAAATCATAATGGACTGCTGCAATCTTGACTGAAATGCTTGGCTGTTACTTCAGGGAAACTTAAGCCGGCAAATCAAGTCACCACTGAATCCATGCACCCTGGCAAGGATTCAGAATTCACAGAGGTGTGATAAACAAAGAAACTGAGTACAAGTAATAGTTTATTGGTAAAGTAGGAGGAGCTTCGAGTAGTTTGAGTCTGAGAGTATTTCGCACTGAAGCAGGAATCATCGAACACTGGGCCCAGCAGGTGAAGGCAGTACCATAGCCCTGGCATAGGCTTGGCTTGAGAAGCTTGACGCAACGGGACATACAGGCTATTCAAAATCCATGAAGAGTTCTCATAAGAAACTTGAACAGCCTTCGAATTAACTTCTAATTATACAACTAACTGAGATCATTTTTGGAAGAGTACTGCGTCCGGAGACATGGTATTTCACTGGAGAAGAAAACTGAACGTGTGCGATAAGAAACCCACACACAAGGTATACAGGACAGATGAAAACTTGAGATGAGATACAGAAAGAGTAGGCTTCGAACTTTTATGGGAACAGAATAAGTAGGAGTAAACCTCCTGGTCACCAAACGGAGTAGAGTCTAGATGGCTCACAGTATGGTTTCTGAGGGTGAAACATTAGGAATACAGATAGGTGGGGACCTTTTAAAGACGTCTCGCTATCGCCTCCTCGATGTGAATGGAAACAAGACATCCGGGTATTTGGAGGCAGCGATGAGAAAATGTACATAGAGTCACAGTCATCAGAACCCTCTTTTCAATTTGAATGAGCTACCTGGTGAACTGAACAGTCATAGTGGCGTTTATGTGTTCTTGCCCGCTTCGATCTCGCTCCTCACTGCGCGGAATCTTTATTCATTTCCAAATTTATGGTAGTGCAGATGATTTCGCAATACAAAACGGACACTGACCAGTGATGGGAAACCCGTAATAATCCTGATAATCATCCTAACAACAGGTATTATTCGATCATCAGTTTTTTAACTGTTGCTTTTAACGTAATGCTTTCAGTTTTCAGATCAAATTTTTACTATGGCGGATATAATGTGCAACAAATCTTGCATACTGGCTTCATCGAACAATGGTAACCTGAAGTAATAAATAGAACATCCAGACAATTACCACCGGATGATTAATTATTGCATCGGAGGTGATTGTTTCAGCTGTAACACTTGCTGCCTAGCTGGCGATTCCCCCTAAGGAAGCACGAAGGCCACATTGCCCGAACAGTCGAGAAGCAGAGGCAGGGTTCGAAACATGGATCCTCAGGTTAGTAAGTTCGCGCTTCAAAAATTTAGCTATCTCGAGCTCAGTAGTAACTAACCGGTCGGGGGCGCGAGTAAATAGATTCATGTCGTTGGTTGCAATCCGAGACAGAGTGCAGCACTTTCTATGTATTAACAATGTACTTTGGCACCGAATAAGACCACTGTTAACCTAGGTAAACCAGATTCTGGAAAACCTACAGAACATCCCTGCGATAACTGCTTCTCGGATACGAACATTGAATCAGGTAGTTTTTTGCATTTCTCAAAATGAAAGGTAGGTCCCATGGTCGTTTTTGGGGTAGAAAGCTATTCTGAGAAAAGAGTGGCTTTTTCAAAGATAAAAATCCTGGAGAGAGGCCTCATTTGAGAGGAGTCTTCTTTAGAGGGAATGGTTGCTGCATTTCGTAACGTTTCGAAGATAAATAAAATAACAGTCACCAGAGCGAAAAACTATTACATCCCGCAGTTAAACAGACTAAAGGACGTGGAACGCCGTGTTCACAATAAGTGCGGCACAACACTAGTAATAATCGACATCGAATCATCCCAGCAACTTTGGCTCGTTTTCAGGACGAAAGTCTTGTTGAAATTATCGACAGTGGTCATCGTAGAGGTTATATGGTGTAGAGACCCACTACTTTGGAACTGGGGTTGTAGCGGCCCAGTCACCCATGTACTTGACTGTTCAACTCAATCGCTCACTGGATCGCGAGGCTTGTCTATTTTCTCATACGCACAAACACGTCGCATTAAGCTGACACATCGGACATCGATTGTCTGCACCGCCTAAGTCAGCGTACAACCACTCATGCGCCGACGCGCCCACATACACGCATGGGGACCTATATAAAGGCAAACCGAACCCAGTCAAGACACAGACTCGCGCGTAGAGTACGTGTAGCAGTCGAACTGCGGAGAAAAACACGTTCCCGCCGTCCGGACTTCCACCAAGGGACTCTCGCATCCGATAAGTTCCCGTTTTGACTTGCTCCCATCCTAGCAC